GAACAAGTGGGCACCTGCTGAGTAACAGGTTGCTCTATTCGGCACGGCCTGTTGGGCTCGCTCCAGTTGTCTACCGGAGGGATGTAGGGATGCACGTTCATGCCCATAGTTTGAGGGTTGACTTCTCGTTTGGCCAGAGACGGTAGAAGTCCACAGGTTTGCATCCCGTAGGTGCCAATGTCTGTGCTGGGCGATGGCATGTACATGCCGGCGCCGTTGGAGTAAAAGCTATCGCTCCTGCAGGCGCTGATCAAGGAGTCGACTAGGAAGGTGTTGGCGGCAGGAGAGCTGTTGGGAAAGGACATTTTGGGGAGGAATTGGGAGACGAGCGAGGGTGTCCTTTGTAGGCTGACATCTCTACGAAAACATGCCCGGTGTAATTGTGGATGCCTCCGCACGACCACATGACAGGCGAGCCAATGAGATTCCAAAACGGCCCGGGAGCCGCGGCCTCCCCGCCGATCACGTGCTCCCCGAGACACGCCGAGCTGCGGCGCAAAGGTGGACAACAGCGACACCTAGGATACCCAGGAGGAAATGCAGGCGCTCAGCCTGCCCGCCGCAGCCCCCCTGCCATCTTTCTCCTCCTCCTCTTCCTCTCTCCCTCTCGCTCTCTCTCTGTACCCCCCCCCCCCACGACCCCCGTTTTTGGGATATGTGTATTTGCAAAAGTCAATCCTCGGTGCAATTCTGCTGATTTAAAAGAAGGAAATGCAATAGGCTGTTCTAATTCTTCTCTCCTAAACCCCCGGTTCCTTTTTATTACAACAGGGGCGAGTGAGTTGAGCCTGAATTTAAAGCAGTTTCTGTTGTTTTTGTTCCAAAAAAAAAAAATGTAGAACACCTACTTCAGTTCTAAGACTAAGCTGCACAGAGGGCAAAAGGAGGGTAGGGGAGAAGAATGCAAAATGTAGAGCATTGGTCATCATCATCACCACCCTGGTCTGTTTCTGTCTCCAACAGCATTGTGGTCCACTTCCATAAACTGGCCTCTACTAGGCCTTCAGAAGAACTGACCTTAGACCATACACACTTTTGTCTTTCTCTTCAAAATTTCTCTCTTTTGGGTGGGGGTGGGGGGGAGACTCCCCAACCAGTAAGATCTCCCTGACAAAAGAAAGGCATGGAGGGTGAGTTGGCAACAGAGAATATCTGCGGGATGTTTGTTCCCTAGAAATGTCATTGTTTGGGAAGAATGCAGGGGTGGGAAAACGTTTTCCTTTTATGGGTTTTTTTAAAAGCATTGGCTTCTGACAAGATCCAAAAGGTAACAGAATTGATTAATACAGATTAAGAGGAATCAGGGCGATCAATACAATCCTCATCTACATGCTCCAAGCCAGTTGGTAATTTTCTTGCTTCTGAAGCTTTTTCAAGAGTTATTCCCTCTGTAGCCACACGCAGGAAAGATACTTTATTAACAAATCAATCTAGACTTTGTGAAGGAGAAGATTAATAGTTAAGATTTAGCATAATAGTGTTCACGTTATGAATTATTGAAAATTATACCATTGATTTTTCCTTTTTTTTTTCCTCCTAACCGAGGTCAACTTTTGTTTTAATACAAATTGTCAGATATAAAAGCTGGCCTATTACGATAAGGGCTTATTCTGTTTTGTTTTTTTTTGTTCTCCCCCCCCCCCTCCTTTTATTAGGTTAAAGGAAAGGGGGGAATCACAAACTTTTCTTTTAATATACATATGAACAATATCGCATTGCCCAGTACAACAGAACAAAAAAAGCTATTATGTTAAAAGGTATTTTACAGTAATGTTATATAATACTGAACTGCTTAAACACCAATGAACTCACCTAAAACAAAAGCAAACAAAACCTATAGTTTTCTTGGCCTAACTTCATACATTTCAAAAATGGCAAGGATGTACAAACTGACCAACGGTAAAAACAGAACATTACCTCTGCCTGTTTGACAACTTAGAGGTTATGTCTTTAAATATACTTTTTTCCCAATATAGTTTAGGATAAAAGTTTTGTCTTTTCTCTCCTATGAAATAAGGTTAAAGAATGCATGGGGGTGAACTGACTGGGTTTTAATTAAAATTTTAGAATATGCTTTTCTCCCTTCTCCAGCCCTCTCCCTTCCTTTCCAAAATGTATCTGACATGCACAGTCCAGCATACCACATTCATCCTCCATTTTTTAAAGAATAAATATTATGCTGCTTCATGGACATATTTGCGGCCATCAGCTCCTCTTTGTTAATTGAATTGGTCCCCCCCCACTTTCCCCTCCTTTCTTTTCAAGGAAAACTTCAGTCAAACCAAACCTCAAATCTTTTAATGGTTGATTCCTAGCCTCCTTGACCATCTATTTTTGACAAATTGCTCCTTCAACCAGTCTAATATCTTCAAAATCATTTTCTATCCTTGGGATTGTCGGGGACGGTTTTCTTCCTCTCTTTCTCTCTCTTTCTCTCTCTCTTTCTTTTAAAAATACTTCCTTGGCCTTTTTCTGCACACCTCCCCCATCTTAAAAAAAAACAACCAACAATCTCCCTGTGACAATGAGACAGACCTTTAAGAAGCTGATCGCAGCTGTTCAAATACAACATCAATGCCAGGTTAAAAGCGGCGGCGCCTTTTACAGCTTTTGTCTGCAGGCTCCATTGCGATCCGAGAGCCCAAGTCTTTCTCACCTTCCTAACTATATTCCCACCCAACAGCGTCCAGGGTTTGCCAAACTCTTTCCCATTCTCGGGCGACTCTTGGCCGTGTCCCGCGTGGGGCGTGCGGGGTGGAGAATTCAGACAAGAAGGCCCCTCACTCACCGGAGTCTTAAGCGGCCGCCTAGGGTGGCGGCGAGCAGAATTCCGCTCGCTCACCTTCAATTTTGAGATCATTATCAGAGCCATTGCTAAACGTTTGGCCCGGCTGGGAAGCAGACAAAAGTGGAGGTCACGACGCTCTCTCTTTGGGGGGGCTGAGGGTTTTATGGGCTTCCCAGCCATTTTTCCTCCCCCTCTCCCGTCTCCTCGGAAAACAAGAAGCCAGGCGGCCCGCCGAGTTTAAAGCAACCCAATACCTCCTTTTCCCTTTGCCTGCCCTTTTTCAGATTTTGCCGTGAAATCTAATCAGGGATTTTATTCCCATTCCGTAACTCCGCAGTCGTTTGAAGAAGGGCCCTGGCAGTAGACCACCGAGGGCATTGTTTACCCGCGGTTTATTTATTTTTGTTTTATTTTATCTATTCTATTTTATTGGCGTTTGTAGCCCAGTTGCCACGTTAAGACAACAAGCCAGGACTCGCTCTCCTATATATCCCGAGAGGCTTTAAGGTTGACTTGCTTTTGCTTTTGCTTTTGCATTTTTAAAAATTATTTGGGGTGTCGGATATTACCGCCCCAAAGTCTAACCTCCAATTATTTGGGTCCAAATAAAGATGAATTGGGGGGAGGGGTGCCCTCCTGCTCCTAAGGAAACCTGGCCATGGCCAAAGGCTCCTTTAAAAAAAAAAACAAAAAAAAACCCTGCTTTCAGCTGAGCAGGCAAAGTGATTTGAACAGAAGAAATGGGTATATAAATCCAAATGTAACATTTGTGCAACATCTTCCAGAGGGTGAATAAACATCTTTCTTAAGAAGCTGGTTCTTTAGAGTTTGTGTGCTTAATGTCACTCAAGTTTTAAATCATATTAAGCCGGAATTGGAGTAATTAACACGAATAAATAAATCAATATTGTGCCATAAATGAGATATACAATCTGCATTACCAGCAAAGGGTTTCCTGTTGACTGTTCCATATTTTTTCCTCCAAAAGAGTGAAAGCCTTAGAAGCTCCATTTATACGTCCATGATTATTTGCAATAAAATAAGTGTTGACATTACACTTTTCTGTCTGAATAAATAATCGAATGTAAAAACAGGGGGTGGGTGGGGGATGTCGTTGCTTAACATTTTAATCCTTCAAATTTATGCCATGTGTTATATACCTGGGTTATAGGGTTTCCCCACTCTCACTCCCATCCAGCCCGAATTCTTGCCGGGTTTTCCCCCCTCTCCTTTATTCTCTCCTTTATTTGCCCTAATTATTAAAGATTCTCCTATCAATCGAGAAACATTAAACTGTAAAAATGCAAAATGGAACTTTTGATCATTAAATATCACGAAAAGACTGGAATTCATCAGAATCAGACAGAATCGGGCTAAACCTGTAATAGAGACAAACTTCTTCTTTTCATTTCATTTTTTTCCTGCAGGAGGAATTTATAAACAGAACTATTTGCTTTCGTTTCTCCCTGGTGTGGAGCGGGCTGCATAAGAAGATTTCCTTTTAATTAAGACACATTAACATACTGCCAAACAACACTAAAGTGCCCCACTCTTAATAATATGAAAATTAAATTGTTTCATCTTCCCTGTCTATTCCACCATATGCAACAGCCAAAATATTTCTATGCAGTGAGGGGGAGAGATATTATTACAGTATTGTGCAAACCCAAAATTCACAGACAAAAGTCCGGATCATATTTGGACAGCTCCCCCAAGCCTTCATGATTTTTGTTACACAAATGATAATTTTTATACTCAGGAGGTGCATAGCATCCCCCCCCTTAGATAAATTTATATTTTGCCTTTGTTTCACAACGGATTGGAAAGCTCGGAGTTCTATATCAAATGCTATAAGCTTTATTTCCACTGGAGTGGGGACAGCGGGAAGGGGTCTGGCAAGACGGATTGGCTTATAGCTGTTTATATATAGTCTTTCTTTTCATCAGAAGCCCTGGAAAAAATAGGACATAAAGCTATTCGAGTGGCCCTGGTAAGTCTTATGTTTAAAATCTCAAGCCAGTGTAGTTTGGGGTGGGGGGGATAGTCATCATAATTTAAAAGCTGATATAGACAGACAACAAAATAGTTAACAAGATTTTCACTGGCCGAGTTTAGAAATCAGGAAGAGAATTCATGAAATAATATTCTAGCAAAGCTAGCCAGCCTCAGCATCGTTCATGTTTTTAAAGTCCCCAAAAGGACAAAGCAAATATTACGAATCTTTATCCAATTTAATAGGCAGAGGACAGACAGACAGAAACTTATATAACACAAAAATCCTTCAATCAACATTACATTTTAAAAGCATAGTAGAAACAGTAGAAGAAAGGATTCAGGGGACAAATCTGTTGTCATCTTCACAGTGATGGTTTACAGCACATGCTTCAATTGAAGAATAAGGAAAAGGCAGCCAGGCAGTTTTGACATTGTCTGTTCTCAGAATATTATGCTGTTTTCTTTATTTTTGATTCAAGCAGATAATTAATCAGTTCCAAGACTTTCAATTTTTCATGAGTATTTTTAAGAAATTATTTCGTATTTTTAAAAATTCATTGTTTTAGGTAACCAGAATAACCATGGATTTCCTTTTAAATGAAAAAAATAAAAATAAAAATCTATCTGGTAAACAAAGAATTCTGCATCTATTTCTCAAATATGACTTTATCTGGTTTCTTGTTTCCTTTTTTTTTTTTTTTGACTCTCCCTCATTTGTTAGGATTAGAGGAAGAAAGTTGGGAAAATGACGAGCTCATCCTTTGCTGTATAATTTTTTAAAAGTGCATCTTTGGAGAAATTTAGGACTGAACAAAACTCAGAGACAGATTTCTCTTTCCCTTGAGGAAAAAACAAATTACCTCTTAGATACCTTTTGAAAAACTGTTGTGATTCTTCATCCTGCAATGAATGAAATTTAGATCTCTAGTAATTCATTTAAGAAAAGTTTAACTTTTTTCTGGTAAATAATTCTCTCTCTCCATTTTTTTAACCCGGGAGGAAACACTCACAAATGTCAGCCAACCATTTATCCATTAATTAGGATTACATATTTTCCAAATTGTTCAATTTACCATCTCATTAAAAGACACTTTTGGACTCATACCGTATTACCCCCCTACCACAAACTGTATTCATACACACTTACACACATCTAAATATAGTTTTGAATTTGTATTCTGTGTGTCATATTGTTAATGACAGAAAAATCAATTTTAATTGAATATAGTTTGTTTGTATTATATTTGTGAGTTATCTCTGTAATATTTCTTGATTCTGCTTTGTTTTCTCACTTCTACGTTTTATTAATGACATTATTATTGAGGGGAAATACCAGAGTATCAGGACAAATATATATTCTGGAATATGAGTGCGCCCTCACGTGGAATTTACGTGCATAGCATATGGAGTATTCTGTTTTCAGTCCCTGTATTTTGTTCTTTTTTTTTCTTTTGACCATTTTGTTCCCGTTCTTTGTTAAAGAAGAATATAAGGATAAATATAAATATGTACAATATATTTAGGATTATTCCTTTAAATGCTTACAGTATTTATTCATAAGGGAATGCAAATTAAACTCCTCTTTGTAAAAATGGTTAGACATTGAATAGGGCTGCTATATATTTTTCATCCTGTAAAGATAATTTTCTCTCAAATATCTTAAGGCAACAATTCAGATTACTTGCATTTCCTGTGAAACATAGACTAGCATCTGCATTTCAAAGTATCAATTTTTGAAGTAATCAATGTTCCATAGGAATCCAAGAATTCTTTCTCATTTATTTTAGAGGGATTGAGTCAATTTGCTTGTTCTTTCTTTTAAACAATGTTTCGTAAGGCATGATTTACCTAGATAAAGAGCAATAATGCTTTTGCAACTAATACTTTACATAGAAAAAACCCTTATAACAATATTTTAAAAAGAAATTTGTTATTTAAAGGGCAACTAAAAAGGATTTTTATAATACACACACTGGTGATTCTGCCCGTTTCATTCTAGATAAATACAGAGAAGTGCTCTAAGGTTAAATTGATGGATCCATTGATCTGAATTAGTATGTAGTCCTTCTTTGTTATGCACCTATGAGGATATGCCAGTGTGAGACAGAAAAAGGAAAGGGGAAAACAGGAAGTGAGGAATGGGTGGGAAGAGTGGGTGGTAGTTGAATATAAGAGGCAAAGCTTTGAGGCTTCTAATTATTCAGAAAGGTTAAAGGTGATGACCTTGACATCTTGGAAGTTCAAAGGCATATACTTAATTTGTCGGGTTTAAATTAAAACAAATTAAATTATTCTCCCAGTCTTCTTATATTCTCTTAGTTCAAGGCATACTTTGTGCATTTCCTGGTATTTTATTCCTCCCAATCTGGCCTTTAATGAACACAAAGAGAATGCAAACTGTTCCTTCCTCCCCCCTTTTCTGTTTCTTTCTTTTAAAAAAAGTCAAATTGTTTTCTCACTTGCCTCTTTTATTACACTTGTGGAAATCTCTTTCTTTTTCCCACCCAACACAAGGTGTTCAATATAGGCTAATTAAGCTGTTACAGACCCTGGGTTTTTATGGTGTTGTCTAGACAGTTCAAGGTTTTGTAAACAGCTCAAACAGGCCACAACAACAAAGTGGAGAGAAGAACCTCTACCAAATTCCTTCTGGAGAAAATAAATAAATAAATAAGGGTTAGCCATTTAGTAGGAAAGCAGAGATTCCCTCAATCCTTCCATTAGTTTGTCTCTGCACATCAATAATATGGAAGAATGCCTTTAAAAATTGCTTTCTTTAATGTAGTTCCTCTCCTCACCCCCACCTCCTCCATGAATAAGTTCAAGGTTTGGAGCTGGAAGTTTCTAAGAGTGGATTGCATCTAAGACCACAGTTGAGCATCTCCAAACCTTACAACACGATGAAATTTCATCTTATGGCTTTACAACTGATGTCTAATCGGGGTATTTTTATGAGCCCATTTAGGCTCCTAGGATAAAATCCTTGCAATGTTTAGTGATAACAGTGGAATGGATTTTGCACATGTTCGGCTATTCAGCCCTTAGTGTCGAAAACATTCCCCTTTCTGGATTTTTTCCTCTTAAAATATTTGATCATGGGACTATATGTCCTAGGATTCAGTTTCATGTGGGCTCAGAAAGGATACAGTGGTGCTTCCCCAGAAATGGATAATTTAGCAGATAATGGAAGTGGAAAATACAGTTTCAGCTTTACTAGCAAATCGCGGAGGCACAAAAGAACAAGGCAGCGTCCCCATGCCTTGATATGACAACAGAGTTCCCAATCCTCTCTAACCAGCATGAGGTTATGGATCCAATGCACATTATCTCCTTTACCCATGATATACGGTGCAGGCCAGGCGGAGAAATGGATTCCTGTCTCAAAGCCCAAAGGAGGAAGAGGAAAGAATAACCGAGGATGCTTAAAGCCCTGATTTTAAAACTGTCAGATTCACACAAGGTCTCTGGTTGCCGCCATGAAAAGCCAGTGAGAAAATAAAAATAAATGAACATTGGGGGTGATTTGGGTTTTTTCCCCTCCCCTTTTGTTAAAGAAGAAAGACAACACTACAGCATTGGGATGGAGTGTCGGGTTTACCCCAGTTGCTTTTAGGAGGGTTTTGCTCTATCAATCCCATGAGATCACCAGGAGACAAAGAAATAGCATAAACCAAAAATAAAAATAAAAATAACACAAAAGCTTCTTCTGTCCTTCGGGTGGAGTCATATTAACCTCTAGGGTTTTTGTGCTCATGTGTCTGGTTGGTTAATAAAGGGAGATCTGTCCTTCCTTTCTCTCCCCCACCTCTCCCCGCTTCTCCTCTCAAAATAAGGGGTTGCCGGTGAAATATTGCAGACGGTCTCGGTTGAGTTTCTTTTCTTTCATCCTTCGATTTTGGAACCAAATTTTGACTTGTCGATCTGTGAGATTCAACATTCTGGACAACTGGAGTCTTTTCTCTTTGTTGATGTAGACGTTGAAGAAAAATTCCCGTTCCAGGACTCTAATCTGGTACTTGGTGTAAGGACATCTCTTTTTCCGTGATCTCTGGGCCAGTGCTGAAAATGGTCAGAAAAAGAAGGAAAGAGGAGGAATGGCAGTGACAGCAGTGGCCTCATTCCAAAATCTTCATGGACAGCTAGACCGACTATTGTTCCCTGGAAAACTGACTCCTTTCTTTCCCCCCCGCCATAACTGCTGGCCTCCCTCCAGATAACTGGGCCGTAGTGGCTTGGAAAGGAAAGAAGGAAAAGCAAGGGAGGAAGAAAAGTCTTCTTAGGTTCCCATCCTTATTATGTTGCTTTCTAAGGCTTAAGTCCCACTGAACTCAATGGGAATTGGTCCCAGGTGACTTTTGGGCTCGTGTTTTTCTGAATGGAAAGCGATTTGGATGGGGTTAAAACGAACGCCGTTTCTTAACTCTTTCCTCTCTTCAGAAGCATCCTTTCACCCTATCGGACAACCCCCCCCTCTCACTCCCCTTTGAATAGCGACTGACTTCTTTTGTTGGGTTGAGTGCTTTTAAGAGACCAGAAATGTCTTCGCATAGCTCTTTCCTTCCAATCTTTTTCCAAGTTCTCCTCCAAAAAAAGAAAAGAAAAAAGAATCGAAGCCCAAACAGATTTTATGACCATAGAAGATGTAAAGAGTGCTAGTTAAAGTGCTTATAAAATGGCACCTGGAAAAGTTGAGACTTGACGAACTGATGGATTGTCGTCTGCCTCTCTCTCTCCCTCTCCCTCCCTCCCTCTCTCTCTCTCTCTCTCTCTCATTCTCTTTCTCTCTTTCTTTCTCTCTCTCTCTCTCTCTCTCTCTTTCTGTCTCTCTCTCTTTCTCTCTCTCTCTCTTTCTTGCTCTCTCTTTCTCTCTCTCTCTCTTTCTGTCTCTCTCTCTCTTTCTCTCTCTCTTTCTTGCTCTCTCTTTCTGTCTCTCTGTCTCTCTCCACCGTTCTCGATCTGGGATTCCCTCTCAAGGAGGAAGCCGAGGGCCATCTTACCTGAACTCTGGCTTTTCGGAGTGCGGGCCTCCCCCGAGGAGGAATCCGCCTTGTCTTCGTTCCCGGCTTCCTTCTTCGGCCTGGGAAGGTGGGAGCTTGGGTCGCCAGCGTCCCTCGACTGTGGCGGCGGCTTGAGGTCCTGGTTACTCTCCTTTTCTGCCTCGGTCGGGGAAGGGGCGCAGCCGCGGGCCGCCTCGTAAAACTGGTCGAAGCCCTGCGGGAGAACGCCATTCCTACCTACGGCGCCATAGAAAGGTGCGGGGTGGGTGCCGCAAAGCTGGTCACTTTTGAGGAAGGCGTCGCTCCTATTGGCGGGGGGCGGTTGCAGGAAGTCCCGGCTGGGGAAGACCTCCTCGTAGTAACCCGGGCTGTAAGCGCTCCGGTAAGCCCACTTGCTGCTTCCACCTCCTCCAGGGTAATCACGGAAGGCGGCGGGCACTTCGCCCACCGGTTGCACCTGGCCGGGCAAGGCGGAGGCATAAGACAAAGCCATTTGACAGGAAGGCGGCGGCTGGGCCAGAAACGGGGTCTTGCCGGAAAAATCGGAGGGGGAGATGTAATAGGCCGAGGGGAGGTAGACGCCGGGGGCCCCGTGGCTGCCGCAGTTGTCCAAGTTACTCATGGCTGCTTCTTCACCTCCTCCGCCGCTGGCCTTGGGAAGAGTGGAAGCAGGCGGAAGCAGGAACCGCGGAGCTGCTGAGCTCTCCCAATCTTCCGAAGCCCCATCTATGTGCCCGCCAGGCTTTGGGCACGAGCCGCCGGGGAGAAAAGGGAAGCAATCCCGCCGCGGGCTGACGCGCAATCCATCTTGATTGATTCGAGGGGTAATTATGTCACGTGACGAAGGCGATGGAGAAACGTCCTTATATCTACATCAGGCTCTCCCTCCCCCCCCCCCCCCCCCCCCCCCCCCCCCAACCGGGCCAGCTGCCTTCTTCCTGCCTTGGCTGAAACTTCGCTACAAGAGGTCTCTACACCCCAAGTCCCCGGCCTCTGCGGAGGCAAACCTTGTGCCGGCTCGCCCTAACGGGACCATTTCTAGCCCTCGAGCTTTTCCGTCCCTCCCCCCCCCCCCCCCCGCTCAGCCCTTCCTCCCTCTCTCCTTCCGAAGCAGAAGCGAAGGCGACCTATATAGATGGGGCCTGGGGTCACCTGGGCTTGCCAGCAATACCCACAGATGCCAAGCAACGCTCAACCGGGACGTCTCTGCCATCCCCCCCCTCCTTTTTCTTCTCTCTTTATGAACGCAGGCAGCCCCCGACCAGGCAGCCAGAGAGCCTGTAAGGCCAGAAAAGTCTCCTGGAGGAATTCTTCCCTCCCCTCCCTACTCCGCGACCCAACACCCCTCACCCCCACCCCCAATATCGGATTATGGCACCTTCATTAAAAGTGACAGGCTGGCTTGTTGCTAAGCGCTTTCTTTCTCCCCTCCCTTTCTCTTGTCTTCTTGCTCGCTTGCTCCGGCTCTTCCTCTATCAGCCTCGCTGGCAAAGGTTCGGGGAGCAGAGTGGGTCTCTTCGCCCACTCTTCGCCCACCACATTTGGGGCGCCCCCCCCGCCGCCCCATGACTGTTCCCGCTTTCATTTTGGAAACGGATTCCCCAAATCTCCGTCAGGCAGAAGGACCTTCTTCTCTAGCAGCCTGTTCGGTTATTCCCTGGCACACACAGAGGAACAAGCGCGTTCCGTACCCTCCGGGTGTAGTAAAAGCCAGAGAGGGAGGGTGGAGGGGGTGGGAGGCAAAAAGATGACACCCGAATCTCTCTGCATGAGGTCCTAGTTGCCAGATCCTGAGCCCCCTTCTGAGGGCTTCGGACCTAGCAGAAGAGGGGCTTCTGCATCAGGCATTTTAGGGTAGGTGCAAAGGAAGATTCCTTTTGGAGAGTCGAGGGGCTGTTCTAGATCTCACTTTCGCCGGTCAAGGTCATTCGAAGGAGAAGATGAACCACTCTCCCCTTTCGGCTCTGCTTTTCAATAGGGAATAAAGGAGCATCTTTTGTTCCCGTTTCATCTCAGTTACAGTGCACTTGAAACAACTCCTGCTTCTCCACCCTCTGGGTGCTCCTCTTTCCCTTGGGCGGCACATTTGAAGAAAAGAAGGAAGGAAGGAAAGAAGGAAAGAAGGAAGGAAGGAAGGAAAGAAGGAAGGAAGGAAGGAAAGAAGAAAGACAGACAAAGAAAGAAGGAAGGAAGGAAAAGAAGGAAGGAAGGAAGGAAAGAAGGAGGGAGGGAGGGAAGGAAAGAAGGAAGGAAAGAAGAAAGACAAAGAAGGAAGGAAGGAGGGAGGGAAAGAAGGAAGGAAAGAAGAAAGACAGACAGAGAAAGAAGGAAGGAAGGAAGGAGCGAAAGAAGGAAGGAAAGAAGAAAGACAGACAAAGAAAGAAGGAAGGAAAGAAAGAAGGAAGGAAGGAAGGAGGGAGGGAAAGAAGGAAAGAAGAAAGACAGACAAAGAAGGAAGGAGGGAGGGAGGGAGGGGGGAAAGAAGGAAAGAAAGAAAAAAGACAAAGAAGGGAGGGAGGAAGGAAGGAAGGAAGGAAGGAAGGAAGGAAAGAAAGAAAGAAAGAAAGAAAGAAAGAAAGAAAGAAAGAAAGAAAGAAAGAAAGAAAGAAAGAAAAGCAAGCCACGGAGAAAACCCCAGCAAGAAGAGACACATTCCACAAGTCAGAATTCAAATGTTTCTAGAAGACCCATCTGTTTCACTTCCTTTCTTTCCCCATCCAATCTAATTAAGCTGCCACAGTCAAATTTAACTCCAGGAAATTCCTTTGCCTTTCAAATGAAAATACACCTTTCCAAACAGGCATCTTTTTAAAGACATCAAGCTGAAAAATAATTCCAAGTGTATTTGCACATCTTCTCTCCACATTACATCTATTTAAACAAATTTGATCATACTCTAGGAAAGTAACTAGCTGTTTCTTTCCCACCTGGCTTGATTAAGCTACCATAGTCACGTTTAACTCCAGGGTGTTGTTTTGCCTTTCAAATGAAAATATATCTGGCAAAAACATATACATATACATATACATATACATATACATATACATATACATATACATATACATATACATATATACATACATACATACATACATACACACATACACACACACATATATATATATGCATCAAACTGAAAAGTAATTCTAAATGTATTTCTATATCTTATGCATCAGACTCTAGAAAGCAAACTAGCTGTGATGATTCTAGCAATAACAATCCAAAATATGTGAAACGTTATCCATATTACAACCAAAAGTCACTGCAAAAGAGAGTTAATCGATGAGGTTTCTTTTGTTTAATATTAGCAGTATGGTGGAGGAAGGAAAGACGAAAAGCGAAAGGGAAGGAAAGGGAATTTGTAAACTGTAATAACGAAAGACCAAAACAAAATTATCCTGCATACAACTGTATAAAATTCTATGCCAGCAATTATTTGCGAGATGGCTAACCATAGCCTATTTTAAATATTTTATTTCAAAAGTATTTAAGCAGATAAGCATGTGAAGCACCGTGTACATGTATGTGCGATTATATATTCCTATATACAATTATACAATCCATATTATATAAGCCACTCAGAGTCTCCTCGAACCGCGAGAACGGAGGGCAAATAAATTTAATTACCGTTTTATGTTTCCACACACCTACCAACAGATGCCAAAAGAAATGAGCCAACAAGTGTTTTCAGTACTGTATACATAAGAGTATCTTAGTAACGATATCAAATTAGTCGGATCACATAAATATAGCAGGCAGACTGGCGATGCCTCTGGTTTCCGCAGGAGGGGGGGGAAACATCCCCCCCCCCACTTCGCCTCTTTGCACTCTGCTCTAGAAAAGAAGGCGAGAAGGAGAGACAACATGGCTGGCCAAATACCTTTCAGCAGTGCTCAATCAAAGCCACTTTCCCTTTTTTGGAAAAGGAGGGAGGAGGGAGCTATCCTGCGCCTCAAGGCTTTTCCAAGTCTTCCTTCAAGGCTCGCCGTAGATCCCAGCCGCCTGCTCCCTTAGATACGTCCACCTCGGCCGCGCCTTGGATCCAACCAACACCTGAGATTCAACCATCACCCAGCACCTAACCTCCCTGCCCGGCACCCTCGCAATGACATCCAAAGGAGCGCAGTCTCGCCTCCCGCTTTTCCAAGGTTTTCGGTTCTGCTTCTGCTGTAAATGGATTCTTGCATCCTTCCCAAACCGGCGTGGCGCAGCTAAAATGGCCCCTGTAGTCCAAATCGCCAATAGCAAAGGCAGGATGTTTCTTTGCGGGGGTGGAGGATGGTATAACAATCCCTCCGGTCATCTCCAGACTAAGCGCATGAAAACCTTACCGACGGTTCCACCAGGATCTTTTCTCATTCGACCTTCCCCCTCACCCCCCACCCCTACTCCCCAAAAATAAAATAAAAAAAATCCGGACACCGACAGTTCAGCCCGGAAACCGACCCGAAAGCTCAAAGCCAAATCCGCTGAAAGACTTACGCTTCTGCAGCTGCAGCGAACTAGGTTCCAACATTTCAAGTTCAAGGACGCGGCTACCATTTGCTCACCAGAAAAAGAAAAAAGAAAGGGGAAAAAAAAGGGGGGGGGAAGCAGGGCGGGTAGCGGCGATCAGAATAAGAGGGAGCCAAAAGCCAGCCTCCCTCTCCCCCCCCCCCCCCCCCTCTCTCTTTCTCTTTCGCATCCCCAAAAACCGAGGAACCGACCGCAGCAGCGAGGATCTTCCCGGTGGCTCAGACCTCCGCAAATGGAAGAAGCGGCTGACTCGTTGCGGGATTCGGCCGCCTCTTAATAAATACATCCCTGCGCCCCCCCTTCCCCCTTCCCCCCCCTCCCCGCTCCTCGTCCGTTGCAAACCCAGCGCTGGGGCTAGTAGCATCGCTGCGGAGACGTTACCGTTTGCCGTCTTGGAAGCCTGCCGAGGTGAGGTGAGGCAGCTCCGAAGAGCCTCCGGGGCAAATAGCGGGGACGAGTCGTCGCCCAACTCTTCAGAAAGGCTGCGCTGGCTCCCGTCCCGCGCCTCGCCCGGAGAAGAAGCAGCAGGAGAAGCAACAGCAGCATTTTGGTGCCACCCAAGATAAGGCACTAACTTGACCTTAACTTTGTTATGGCGCCCCTGGTATCTGGCGAACGTGAACAGACACTGTCTGGCATCTCTCGTAAAAAGCTTGACTGGGAGAAACCATCCTGCGTCATTTCATTTATGGCCGCTCCAGGTCTGCGTCTCTCCATCCTGTCAAACTTTGATTATTTATGCGCTTTTCGGAAGCACAAAAGCGCCCACCGCCGCTGAAAGCCATCCGAGCAACCTGCCCTCCCTTCTCCGCCTTATCAAAGTCTCGGGGACTGCACCAGCGCCCCGGGCTCAGCCTATCAGAGAGAAGGGCAGACGCCTAGCCAGATGCGGATTTGGGAAGAAGAGCGCTGCGCGCGCGCGCCTCTGTCACCGAGGAAGCCTGCTGCTGACAAGCCAGCTTGGGCCTGTTTTTTTTTTTTTTTTTTGCCCCGGGGCGCCCCCCCCGTCCCCGGGCCGCCTTTCCGTCCCCCCCAGCAAAAAAAAAAAAAAAAACAGAAGTCCAGCGCGCCACGCCACACCCGTGGTGGATCACTCAGACCCGACGGTTAAAAACTGGGTTCGGGTCCAAATTTATTTTTCTAAAAAAAAACCCCAAACCTGGAGAAGATAATTATCCCCTTGCCCAGTTAGGAAACCACCCACGATCTTTTTTAAACAAAAGACACACACACACAAAAAAACTCTGGTCTGTGTAAGGGAAAGCTGCCATAAGTCCTTTTCCTTGTGTATATGTGTGCGGCGGGTGGGGGGTGGAGAGGCCTCTTGTGTTTTATAACGGAGCTTTCATTGGAGTAAAGAAGTGCAA